CGGGGACTTAGACGAGATCTCGGCGGACACTCTCTCGTGGGAGCTTTTCGGCCCGAGACCGGAAGATACAGACGCTCGACCTTGGAATGACCTTGTTTTACAGAATTGGCAGGACCTTATCCTCAAGGGTTTGCCAACCGATCAACGAGACGCTCTACTCAAAAAATATTCTCCTTCTAACGAACTAGCCTTTCTCAGAGCTCCCAAGCTCAATCCAGAGTGTAAATCAGCCTTGAAAAATAACATTGTCACCAAGAAGGATGAATATAATCGCATCAATCAGGACCAATTGGGCACAGCCCTTTTTGCATTTGGGAAAGCATTCTCAAATCTTCTCAAACCCGAGATACAGAACACTCTCACCCTCGAAGCTCGGCAGGCGGTCACCACATTCAGTGAGGGCACAAAGGTTTTAGCAGATCTCTTTTATTGCCTCTCCATCGCTAGAAGATCATCGATTAGATCAACCTTTAATTTCTTGGCTAGATCCACAGCAGATGCTACTTCGGCAGGCGAATTTTTGTTTGGCTCCTCGTTCGGAGAAAAAATTAAAAAAGCAACCTCGATGGAGAAAGCCGCCAAGGAGATTGTAAACACACCTTTGGCAATCTCAAGAAGGGTACAACAACCTATCAAAGCGCCGGCCCGTCCAAAGTCCTCCAGGTCGGAAAACTTTCGCGCCCTTGTCTCGAAAGCGAGATCGGCACCAGCGAAGAGAACAGGGGCCTCGAGCAGCAGCCGCCGATCAGCTTATCACCAATGCTCACATTTCAGGAGACGCTAAGCGACTCACAGGTAAATATAGCCGGCAGACTATCCTATTTTCTTAGTAAATGGAGAGAAATCACCTCAGATCCAAGGATTTTGCAAGCTATCACCGGTTATAAGTTACCTTTTACATCTCACGCGCCTCGTCAGTTTATCGAGCCTTCAACGCATTTCTCGGCAGGAGAGGAGCAGATCTGTCACCAAGAAATTACCAACCTCTACAACAAGGGAGCAATTGAACCCGTTCTAGACTGTGAGGGTCAATTTCTCTCCTCTTTCTTTATTATTAAAAATCGTCTGCCCTTATAGAAAAGTATTACTGGTTGGTCAGTAATTTATTACTGAAGTATTGTAATTTATTACTGGTGATTAGTATTTCATTCTTGTACTCTAATAGTTCAACTACTGACCTATGAGTAATAGCTAGTAATTTTAGTAATTTATTCTGGAATCTGAAGTACTGGTGCAAGTACTTCAATACTTGCATATGTAATGGTAAAATACCGAAGTACTGAGGGATACAGTAGTTCAGCTCAGACATAAAGTACTAATAGGATAAATAAGTATTTTCTCTAGTAATTCATTACTTGGTGTAGTACTTAAGTACTTGTAAAAAGGGGATTCAACTACTGGGGTAAATACTGAAATACTGAACTTATGTCTTTTTACTGTTCTTAAGTTTTTAAATATCACAACCTATTTCTACAATAATTTAATACAATTTTGAGATAATAATTGTACAAACCTAATATATAAAAATATAAACCTAATATTATAACATGAAATAAATGATTGAATCTAATCAGCTGTTGCAATTATGATGAAATTAAGGTTGAAAAAAAAGAATGGTCAAATTTTTCTGAAAACATAAAATGTATTTCTCTTGACATAAAATAATACAATGACAAGATATATTAATAATTGAAAAAATGTTAAGATTGAATAAATATATTAAATTTTATTAAGAGAGTACATCAGAACATAAATATTTCTAATAAAATTATACTTTTGTTTAATTAAACTTGTTTTTAACTCTTATACTTGAAATCATTTGTTGAGGAATTTTATGAAGTGTATCTATCTTAGTCTCTTTCTAAAGAATTAATTAGAGGATATACGCATAATTTGCTATCATATGGTGTTACAACGCATTTGCACTGTATCATTTGGGGAAAAATAGCCATACATTCAGGAGTCATTTCCATAATGCTACAGAAAATGTTAGAAGAGACATTGATTGAGCGATTTTGACAAACAATATCATTTATTAAGTGAAGACGCATACCTAATAAAATGCATTTCATCTGATTAGATTGAAGAGTCTTAACTATAAGTACATGTGATATGGAGATTACTGTTTTATTTTGTAAATAAACAATATTATTAATGCGTCTTTTCATGCGTTCGTATCCTTCCACATGAAACAGAATATTTTTGTAAATAAATCTACGAAACAAGTGAATTTGCTGATTTTGTATGTTTTCCTTTAAAAAGTTTTCCACAGCAACTTTTTGAGTTAATGTTAGCGTAATATAATCAGGCTTACCAAATAATCGTATATGCTCACCATATGCTACGCAGTTATTAGATGTAAGCTTTCGAAAAGTCAATGCTTCGTACAAAGGTTTGGCAAATAATGCATTATTATTTGACAAGAAAAGTTCTGCACCCTTTTCTTTAAGAGATTGAAGTCTTAAATAAAATTTACAAATTTGCAGGGGTACTGCTTGAGAACTCCGAAACATCTTGGCTAATGTACCATTATAATGTTCATATGGAAAACAAGATACAGCCCACAGAGCTCCAAACTGTTTTACACTTTTAGGAATGTGGAGAAGTAAATGAATATTAAATTTCATAAGTTGAGGTGCATTGTATACGTCTTCTATATTTAAAACAAACTGTCGTATACACCTTTCTGCAATAGAGAAATCCTCTAATGAAATTTTTTCACGTAGAAAAATATGTACACTACATACAAGAAGAAACCAATGCTCGATATATTTTCTTGGCATTTCTACTTTATGTAAACACGGCAAAGAGTAATATAATAAAAAGTTTTTCCATTCAGAAGCTTTCCATAGTTTACATTCTGTAATGGACCGAGGAGTTTTAGTAATTTCACTTGGTGGCTTAATAGAACAAAGGATGGCATCAATTTGTTTTAGCTTAATGTCTGATCCGATATAGAAAGGTTCCTTCTTATTTTCTCCATTTTTCCACCACTCCACCATAGTTTTTACAACACCAAGTAAAATACAATGCATGTAATCAGGCACAAAAGATGTTATTATATTAAATAAGGGAAGCAGAAGAAGGACAGATGCATCCTTTATTCCATTTTTAACCTTTCCAGTTTGCATGACAGTTTTGGTATCTTGCACATGTTGTTCGTGAGTTCGTAATTGTCCTATATCACCACGATAAATCCTTGCTCTTCCACGACCAACTTCACACTCCTCTCCTTCATTCAGACAAAAAGAACAGCCTTGTTTACCTCGAAATGTTTTTAATTTCTGAAGCAATGGTCTTGCTTGAGAATCAACTGAGGCTATGAGAGTGTGAACTTTTACTTTAGCTTTGTCTTCAGAGCCTGGAACGACATACTCTAATCCTTCATTATGTAGCATACTTAGTTCCTCAACAAATGGTTTCAAGAATATATTCATGTCAGGTTTAGATCCATACCATAATCCGCAGAGTAAAACATTTTCTTTACGAGCTTGAAAAGGCAAATTATTTACAGCTACCTGGATAGGCCATAAACTTACTTTAGATGATTTAAAAATTTGTACTCCATCAGTATTCCACTGTAATGTGAGATCTTTTTCTGAAATAATACCATCTTGTATTAATCTTTTATATACTTCGCCACTGTGAACATCGCTTTGACCACTTATAAATCCTTCTTGAAACATGGAATGTATACGATCATTTTGAAGTAGCCGAATCAATTGATCTTGTAATGGAATTTGAATAAAAAAGCATTGCTGCGACTTTAAATCATCCATTACACATATCAGTCCACAACTGCAAATTACTTTATTTGTTTCCAAGAAATTAACTAAACTCTTGCAACCAGAGCAAAAGAAATGTGTTATTATATTAGGTGGCTTAGGAAATTTTTGAATGAGTAAATGTAATGATTTATGTTCCTGTCTTGGAAGATGACAATCTATGAGATTTATAAGAGATTGAAGGGCAATATCAGACAGTCCAAAACGCATAGCATAGGTCATAATTAATAATTCACTTTCCTCTCTTGTAATGTCACAACCCTCATATAAGGGTTTCCTATCTGAATTGATATGTTCAAAATTTTCTGTTTGAAATATGTCTTCATCATCTACAAAGTCTTCGAAGACAGTGCCATCATTATCAGAAATGCTACTATCTTCTGAATCAGTGTCAATGTAATCACTATTATGTAGGCTTATTCCTTCCTTACTGTCATCATCACTTTCTTGCATTGTGAAATACAATCTTTCTTCACTTTGTTCAAGGCTCTGCTGTTCGAATTCATCTTCATTGTTAAAAGAGCATTCTGAATTCTCCCTACTGTCAAAATATCTTTCACTAGGATCCCAGTCCATAAGTTCATCAATGTTATCCGATAGTGCATGCTGAAAATAAGTTTTTTTAAATATAATTATTTAAAATTTCTTTTCAATTTCTACAACTGATAATATAACATCATTATACAATTTTATTTTAAATTGTTAAATTAAAAAAAGTTTATTGAAGAATGTTTTTCGTTTATTCTGTATTACATTAATTTGTAGTTATACAAATTTAATCAATGCTGATACCTATTTTATATCCTAATCCTACAAAATCACCTATTTTATTATAATAAATGATATTAATATAAGACTCATAAATGATAATAGTATAAAACTAATATATAATTGATATAAATAATTGATAAATAGAAATATTTTATTTTAAATTGTTAATATTTCAAAATTGTAAAAGTAAATTTAAGCTAGTTTTATTTCGACGTCCTTATTTTTTCATTATTATTTATGACTTATTAATATATCGTTAAAATATTTTATTCTTTTTCTCGATAAATTTTAATAAAATAACTATTGATTCCTTATGTTTTCAATTACTTTAACTGATGAATTCAATATTTTTAAAAATGATATGATTGAGAAAATCTATCCATTATATATTTTAGGCGACCAGTTTCTAAATGATATAAAACCAATTATAATAAAATAAAAAGAAATAAAAATATCAAATAATAACCAACATCAATCATTCATCAACGCATTGATAAAGAATTTAGTAGTCAATTTTAACTTAAGAAAATTTATAATGTTTATTAACCTCATTACGTTGAATAACTTGTCGACGACGAAGAGTTGTGTCGGGGATAGGAATATTTAAATCTTGAAGGTATTGTTTGTATGGACCTCGGCGTGACATTTCTTTTAATATAAAAGCAACTATTAATTAATAATTTTGAATTACGTTGAAATTGACTCGTTCAGGCTCGTATAGCTTGCTAATGCTAACAAGTGGCGTCAGAGCATTGGCCCATAGGGCCCGAGTGTGCCGTTTATTTTACGTATACGGTACTGCATAGCGCGCCACGCTTTCTTCAGTATCCATGCGCGGACATGAATTTTCTTGTAAGTGAAAAAACAATTGCCGCCACAGGATTATCATCTGCGTGACCGCGTGTGATGCGTTATACTGGTATCGCGATATTGCGATATTTCTATTGTCAAGCCACGCTGTTTTACAATATCTGCATCAATTGTGGTATTTTTACCGGTTGATATATACGCATCGTGGAAATTTGAAGAGTGAATAAGTGCAGTAATCATGTCTAATATAAAAAGTGCTGTGGAAACAAAATTGTCAGATGAGAAGTGTCTCGTCGTGCAGTTTATTAATGAGAGACATAAACCTGTTCAAGTGGGCTTTCAAGCGTGGTTAAAAAAGGAAAATACAGAATCAGATTTGAGTCACCTCCTAAACTCGGAGGTGATCATTCGATGGCCCGTAGCAGAGGACATAAAATGTGCCAAAATGATGGAAAAAATGATTAAGAAGAAAAATATTACTTGGGAGGACTTGGTTGTAAGAGTGCGATCTTTGGGAAGTAAGTAATGATTTTAACATAATTTAACATAGAAGCTTAGAACATGTATATACTGGAAGGGGCATAGCGCATGTGTGCATGTGTGATGAGCTAGAATATATGTAAATATATGAGTATATTATCCTCTTGTGTAAATGCATTTATTTCGTACTAACAATAATAAATAGGTGTTGAGGACTTTTGCTACGTACACCAGATAGGTTATGCTCTTCCAGTTTATATGTTCTAAGCATAGAAGAGAGTTGCTAAATGTATACCGATTGCCTAAATAGTATATCTCGTCAATATTTTATAATTTTACTTAATATGACATTACATTTAATGACAAAAATATGAAATAAATGAGAAATGAGTAATACATATATACACAAGAATTTAACAGGTTATCTTGTCTTGTGCAAACATCTTGAAATATGAAATACAATTAATTGTTAATTCTTCAAAAATTTTTGTCGTTGATAATTATATATAATTAATGTATTTATGAAATTTGTACTGAATTTTAAGATTTTCATAAAAGAAGATTTATTGATTAAAAGTTTATTACATAAAACAAGGTTTATATATTATAGAATATTTTTCATGTCATTGTGTGTACATGTATATGTGTAAGTGGGGAAGGGGAGGGAGATCTTTTAACCACGCTGTGATCGGTGGCTGTGATCAATCGCAACGTAGTCAAACGGGATGTGTGTACTCCCGTATGTATATATGTGTGTATATATGCAATTATTTCAAATGTTAGATAATACACGTTTTTCTAAAATTTATCGTCTTCAAAATTATACTATCATAAATTTTATTGTAAAAAGTATATGATATTAAAGTAAGTTAACTGAGTTTAAGCTACGTTAATGCAAACGCGGACTTCAGACTAATACGTAATAAATAATAATAAATAACGTTCTCAACTTTGCTTTAAGTTTTTGTTTGACAAAACCGCCGACAACTCTCCCCTAAATTTTATAAATATATATTTAAGCATAAAATAAATTTCAAAATTTTTAGTATTTACTGATATGTGCCAACACGTCAAAAATATTGAACTTTTTGGCGTGCCTAATCCTTCTCGAGAAGAGAGACGGAAACTTTGCCATAAGCCATCAGGCTCATCTAATCAAAGCCACACGCTTGATTTTAACTCATCAGAAGATGACAGTGTCAGTATCTGCAATTAGTATGTCTAATAATAATTATAATCTCTTTTTAATTATTTATGTTTGAAACTGTACAGCTTGTTGTGTTATCGTAATAGTAATGCTGCTTTCTTTTTTATTTGATTTAAGTATAAGATTTGTTAATTTGTAAGTTTAACATGAAATTTATTCTCTGTTTAATTTTTAACAGGAGCCTAATAAATCATTAAAAAAGCGGAAGAAGACTGAAACATCAAGTATTGGAAAAAGTCATAGTTTACAGTCGCCAATAGAAAACTTATCAAGAGATTTTATAAAAAAATCATCTCGGGTAAATTTAATATTGTCTTGTATGTTTGAAAAAAAAATATTTTATCTTTTGCCTATGCAAAGCTTTTAATATTTAAAATTAGATGTGCATTAAAATCATATATGCATTCTTACTTTATTCTTGCTTTTTTTCAAGAAAAGTGAAATAAATTTCATATGTCTCTTACTTTAGGATTTGTATTTATTTCCAGATTGATTTAATAAATAATGAAGAGGAGAAGGAGAATGACGAAGACGGTTCTATGTTTAAATGGAGTAAAACCAAACTAATCGATTTAATAAATACTTTACAAATAGAAAACAAAAAGCTAAGGGAAGATAATGCCAGATTACGAGCATTAAGAGCTATTAACGAAGGTAAGATGTGCCTAGTGAGATGTAAATATCTGCTGTAGCTGTTGATCTTACTTTCCATTCTTTTGGTATCTGATTCTAGATTTACATAAAATGACTGCCATGTCATCTACTTTATTTAAAGACATGGATAAATTACGCAGGAACATTGATTCTCTACGTATTAAAGCTGATCAAAGCAGTAACAAAAACAAGAATAGTGATAACATTAATAATAATAATAATAATATTAAACTAAGTTATTTAAATAAAGATGAACAGAAGGAAAATAATATTAGTCACAATGCTGGAAGTACTTCGGAGATTGTTGAAACACAAAGTGAGGTAACGTAAATCTTTTCATACAATGATAAACTTTATTTGCTTTTTCTTTTGTATTTATGTACATATGTGCATGTATGTATATGTGTATGTTAAAATATAAAGTAATATTAAATATAAATTTATTATGTAATTCCTGACATAGATGATTAAACTTTAGCAAGATTATAATCTGGCTAGTAAGTACAACAAAATCTTTATAAAGTGTTAATAATTTAATATATTTAAAACTTTTTAAGGAATAATGAAAGAAACACACTAATTTTCATTTTAAAAAGTTTACAGTAAAGCTAGAATAATTTAAATAAGGAATGAGTTACCAGGATTTTGTTTTTGCCACTGAGAATGCTAAATAAATTTAATACAATATAAGGCAATAATGAACCGATAAATTTTATTTTTTGTTACATTCTTTAATATTGGACCGATAAACACAATCGAGTAAAATTTTCCTAATGCTTGCTATATAGTAATAAAGTTTTTATCATTATTGATAGATTCTATTATTAACACCATATTGGATACTTTTATTTTATTAAGCACAAAATATACCGAAATAGTCTTCATTTTTCTTGTATGTTAGCTGTTATTGTCTTATTATACATATACCTATATTCCTACTACTATATCTTTGTGGTAATATAACTTGACTGCAAACTCAGAAACAGAAAAAAGCTTGATATACCACATAGGATTTTTTTGAAGAACTTGAAGAGTAAACAATATATCAACATAACTGAGATTATTGAGATATTTTCCATGATTTTAGACAAATTCCATGGTCTTAGATAAATGATTATAAAAAGCTTGACCAATTATTGTACTTTATTTTCCAGAATTCACAGCAGCAGATATTATTAAGTATTGCTCATATAGAGCAACCAGAGAAGTTTCAGGCTAAACCATCAATTACTATAGTAAGTAGCAATATTTATTTCGTGACACATGATAATTTTATCATGAAATTTGAATAGATCTTTTTTAAATATGTACATATATATCAAAGACATTAGATATAGATAAAATGTTATTTTACGTCTATTTTATGTCTTTAAATATGTATATACATTTAGTAAAATATATATATCTTTTTAATATATTTTCTTTATTTCTATTTTATAGGAAGATCTCACAGATTTTGCGGGAAGACAAGTACAGACCGAACAATTAAAAAGACTCAGTCGCAGCAAACTATCTTTATTCACAGCTTCTGTGATGGATCTAGTTTTCACAGATGAGGAAATGGCCAATTATAGTATGACTGGAATAATGAGCAATTTCTCTCGAGGAAAAACTAAACTCCATGCAGAAGATGTGAAGGCCAAGCCAGAGCTGAATCCTCCTGTGAAAAACGCAGTGATGGGTAAGATATTGCTATATACTAATTGTTACAAGTAAAATTTTAATATTCTCTTATTCTCAAAAAGCACTTTTTGTTTAGTAAAAATTATTTTTAATTTCCACAGAATACATTCTAAAGGAATTTGATTGTCCTACAGAAGGGCCATTAAACAAGGCTGCAATAGCAGAAATTTTTAAAGCAATGAAAAGTAAATTAAATAATAAATCAAATATATGGCGTAACAAAAATAAACAAATATCAATGGGACCTGCAGTTATTCAATAACAGCAAGATAAAAAAATGGAAGATTCTGCATAAGAGCGTGACCTACAAATAGTAAAAAATATATCAATATATTCTTATATTTTCTTTAATTTTATATTTTCTAATTTTAATTGTCTTAATAAACGAGATTTGGATTATTTATACTTATAACGTTCTGAAATGTAATATTTAACTTTCAATTTTATTTTTTCTATTTTTAATTGTCTTATTTGGATATATTTTTGTAACGTTCTGAAATATAAACATTTTACTTTCAATTTTACATTCTTTATATCAATTTTAATTGTCTTGGATTTGGATTAATTATACTTGTACGGTTTCGAAATGTAACATTTTGCTTTCAAATATGTAATTCATTTATATATTATATAATAAAATATAGTAATAAATTGAAACAATGTGTTTTATGTATTAAATAATATTAATAAATTACTATAAATACTAGCAGTATTATTTCTGGGGAGCACTGCCAGTACTTTAGAAATATAGAGTATTAATGAAATATTGGCCAGTAATTCGATATTACTCTACACTTCTCAAGTACTGGCAATACTTCGCCAAAATAATACTGCCAGTATTTGTAGTAATTTATTACTGATCCCGGTAATCCAGTAGTACTCAGTATTTCTGAAATACTGGTAGTACTCCGCCCAAAATAATACTGCCGTATCGCAATAATTTATTACTGAATACTTTTTAACTTTCGTCAATACTTTTCTATAAGGGTGGGGCTGGAGATTTATTCTCAATCTGAAACAGCT